TAATGTGGTGTACTGTATCCGCTGTTCCAGATGTGGCCTCCTCTACATCGGGGAAACTAAGCGGAGGCTTGGGGACCCCTTTGCGGAACACCTACGCTCTGTTCGCAACAAACAACTGCACCTCCCAGTCGCGAACCATTTCAGCTCCCCCTCCCATTCCTTAGATGACATGTCCATCCTGGGCCTCCTGCAATGCCGCAACGATGCCACCTGAAGGTTGCAGGAACAGCACCTCATATTTTGCTTGGGAACCCTGCAGCCCAATGGTATCAATGTGGACTTCATAAGCTTCAAAATCTCCCCTGCCCCTACCGCATCCCAAAACCAGCCCAGCTTGTCCCCGCCTCCCTAACCTGTCCTTCCTCCCACCTCAAGCCCCACCACCATCTCCTACCTACCAGCCTCATCCTGCCCCCTTGACCTGTCCGTCCTCCCTGGACTGACCCATCCCCTCCCTAACTCCCCACCTACACTCACCTTTACTGGCTCCACCCCCACCTCTCTGACCTGTCTGTCTCCTCTCCACCTATCTTCTCCTCTATCCATCTTCTATCCGCCTCCCCCTCTCCCTCTTTATTTCAGAACCCCCTTCCCCTCCCCCATTTCTGAACGAGGGTCTAGGCCCAAAACGTCAGCTTCCCTGCTCCTCTGATGCTGCTTGACCTGCTGTGTCCATCCAGCTTTACACCTTGTTATCTCAGATTCTCCAGCACCTGCAGTTCCTACTATCACTCCCCTATAAAGATATCCTTGACTGAATATGTCTCACAGACTGAGGCAGAAAATGAAAATGAACATACAGACTATTTAGAAATGTTCCAAGAATCTTTAGCCAGGGAGTGGACACCTGTAAGTTTTGAGGAGTATTTTAAAAATGATGAACCAGAATGTCAGCATTGCACAAGTCAACCTCACCCAATAATGAGAAAACACTACAAATAACATCTTAAAAATTAATTACTTTTAAAACCAATATGCTTTTAATTTTAACATATTTTTTGAACAATTGAGATTTTTTCCTCCAGATTATCATTTATTGCAAAGAAATGCCGGCAAATGGGACTAGGTCAGATTAGGATGTCTGGTCAGCACAGAGAAGTTGGACTGAAGGGTCTGCTTCCATACTGTATGACTCTATGATTCTATAAACCATCAGTAGAAAGGACAGTTAGTTGTCCCAATATTGACCAAAAACAGCTCCAGGTGACGCAACATTTCTTCAAATGGAGACAATGAGTATTTTAGAATTAGGGACCAAGGAGAGTTTCTCTTCTAGAATCCAGAGGTTAGCTTTTCCTTTGGATTTTATTGGCTTTTCCAAATAAAGTTACAGAAGTTAGAATGCACTTCCAAACACAAGATTCAGGAACATATTTTGCAGAAATGGAACAGAATACTGTGGTTCTTCATTGGATACACGCTGCACTGACCGCCTTAAACACCATTTCAATTTGTGTGACAAACACAAACTCATTTAATTTGCACTTTATCACAACGTCAGATTAAGTGCAGACACTTAGATTCACATGAATTTACTCGTAACATAATTGTGTTGGGAATGCCACGCAAGCAAACCTAATACTGCAGCAATAATAGATGCAATATCATGTCTGCAAGTACAGCCCTACAGCCATCCTTCACTGAAGTATTAATTAATTTAACTGATGGGCTTAGTCACTTAATATACAATCGTATCAATAATATGTCTGTTGGTCTAAGTGTGGCAGTAAAGCAGCAGCTCTCTTCTTTCACAGTGGTTTCAAGGTTTAGGGTAGCTGTCTGCAACAGTGCAACTCAATTAAAGCAGACTTTCTCTCTCCATGCATTACAACTTCCACATAAAAAGCAAAGCTCTATTCCTCATTATATCGTTAAGCAGAAGTCATAGAACAAAATGTTTGCAACAGACGTTAAGGTAATCAAATTAAACTTAAAAATTAAGCAATGTTAAAAAGCTCCAAACTCTGCAAAATGTAGAAACATAGAAAATAGGATCAGGAATAGGACATTCAGCCCAAGCCTGCTCTGCCATTCAGCATGATCATCTAACTCAGTACCCTGTTCCTGCTTTCTCCCCATGCCCTTTGATCATAAGGAATATATCTAACTCCTTCTTGAAAGCAGATTAACAAATTCCAAACACAAGAAAAGTTACAACATAAGTGAAGCATACTTACTAAACAATTTAAAGTGAATGTTATGCTTATCTTCACTGAATTAATTTCCTTCAATATGACAATTTGTATTTGCATACTGTATTTTATGTAATAAACTTGCTAACGGACTGGTGACAATATTAGACACTTCAGGAAGAAGCTAAGGAAAGTGACAGAAAATAATCACAAACCGTGATTTTGGAAAATAAACTTTGACTGCAAAAGGAAATGGCAACTCATGGCACTGACACTCAAAACTTGTGGTTGAGTCTTGGAAACAGATGTTGAGAAATAAATGGGAAGAGCTGGAGGACTGAGCAGGATATATAACAGATTAGATTTGAAAGTCTGAACTTGCATGCTGGCACTAATGGTTATGACTAGTTGTTGAAATCCTAATAGAAGAGTTCCATTATGCACGAGTCTTCGCCACTTTGAGCTGGCACGGAAGGTATGACACTGACTGTTGCAATGAAATTTTGAAAACAATTAACAGAGAAGATGCAAACAGTCTGGTCTGCTTCATTCATTTAATCACAACTACAGTCTTCAAAGGAGCAAGACAGGCAGGCTGCTGCCTTGAAATGCAGTAGCATTTAAAAGGTTAGGCTGCTTGAATCCTAACTGCACAAGTTTCCATTTATCAACTGTATTTAACAGGAACAAACAGTTTAGTTGAGTTCTTGCAAATGACAACATGTATGGAAGCATTTCAGTCATCACAATTACAAGTCAACAATTCACAAGGATGGAACACCCCAGTCCAAATTAGAAACTTGGATGCTAATAATATTGATCAGTCATCCTGATGTTGGTGCTGGAGAAAATGTTAGTCCATTGTAAAAGATTTAATAGCTGAGCACTTAGAAAACAGTGGTAGGACTGGACGGAGTCAACATGAATTTATAAAAGGGAAATCACACACGAAGAAGGATGCTTTCACTATAGAGGGAACACAGCCGAGGTTTACTACACTAGTTCCTGGGATGGCGGGACTGACGCATTAAGAGAGCTTGACTTGGTTAGGATTGTATTCGTTCGGACTTCAGAAGAATGAGGGTTCGTTCTCATAGGAACCTAGAAAATCTCAACATGACTAGATATAGTAGGTGCAGGAAGCATGTTCCTGACAGTGGGTAGTCAGAAGCAGGGGTGGACAGTCTAAGGATAAGGGGCAAATCATTTAGGACTCAGGTAAGAAGGATTTTCTTCACCCGGAAAGTGGGGAGCCTGTGAAATTCATTACCACAGAAAGCAGTTGAGGCCAAAACATTGTGTGATTTCAAGGAGGAGCTGGATATAATAACTGGGGCTAAAGGGATCAAAGGATATTGGGATAAGCAGAGGCAGTCTATTGAGTTGGATGATCAGCTATGATCAAAACGGATGGTACAGCAGGCTTGAAGGACCGAACGGTCTACTCCTGCTTCTATTTGCTATGTTTCTAAGTGCCTCTTGCAGCTGGTTCCCAAACAAGGAAAAGGTTGTAAAGTAAACAGCCTGCAAAAACCACATTTATCGGCTGGAAAGTTTCTTCCGATTTCAAGCTCTAGGTATTACAGAGTCCTAGAGTTTTATTGTGAGGAAACAGGCTCTTAGGCTATCATGCCTGTGACAGTCATCAAACACCTGTCTACTTCAGTTCCATTTTCCAGCATTTGGCTCACAGCCTTGTATACTATGGCACTTCATGTGATCATCTAACTATTTTTCATGGCATCTTAAAATCTACTTAAAGTGAATCTTTCTGCTTGGGATCCAGTCTTAATTAAGATCCAGATCTATTTTACTGCATATAACACGACAGAACCCAGCTAGAAAATGATAATTGCTTTTTGGGGTCTGGTTTCTTCCCACAGATGCTGCCAGACATGCTGAGTTTGTGTTTTTGTTTCAGATGTTGATTTCTATACTAGTATATCGGGACTTGGAATGCAAGATCTAACAAGCAAAATGTACTTACATTAACATTTTTGATACATACAAAAGACACATATTAATTTGCAGAATCAGACAAATAATAATTCTGTATAAATATTATAGTTAAGAAGAATTCAAAACAAAACCTGCTCGACAACAGCTCTATTCAGTATCCTAGCAGCTGGACAAATGCATTGCTGAAAATGTATGGGTGAGTAAGGAAATTCTAAATTCAGGGTAGAGTCATGTATTTGGCAGAGATTGTAAACTGCATAACAATAGCAACAGTGACTAATGACTTTTGCCCAAAATTGAATGTGTTATTAGTGAGGAACATAACTTTCAGAAAACAAAGATTGTGAAGTGTTACCTGTTTAAATTTTGGAGGCAGACTCCAACCATAGGCCTGAATGCGGCCATCGTCTTTCTGTACATGAGCTTTTACTTGACGATACTGTTCCCTCTTCTGCTCCCTACGAATGGCTGAAGTATTCTCACTGCCACTAACATAAAATAAAGTTATTGCTTTGTTATTTCAACATTTTGCATGCATAAGCTCATATTTTCAAATGATTTAAACATCTAGAATTTACCTTACCTTTTTTATTTTCGGACAAACAGGATAGGGAAACAACCGCTTCTCAGTTTACTGATTAAACAGCTCACTGGGCGTAACAAGGTTTGGACATTGAATTTCTAGCCCAACTCTGTACAAGAAGCATTCAGTACCTTCTCAACAACCTTGACAGATTGAAAGGAAGGCAAACAATGATGCAAACAGAAGGATACCACTCTGCGTGCACTGTGCTTTACTTTTTTCAAAAAGCTATGTTGCAGGGGAAGTTGCAAATTTACAAGACAAGACAATTACGTAGAGATAGTAAGAACTGCCGATGCTGGAATCAGAGATAACACAGTGTGGAGCTGGAGGAACAGAACAGGCCATGCAGCATTAGAGGAGCAGGAAAGCTGACATTTCGGGTCGGGACCCTTCTTCAGAAAATTTTCCCGAAACATCAGCTTTCCTGCTCCTCTGATGCTGCCTGGCCTGTTGTGTTCCTCCAGCTCCACCTTGTGTTATTTCTGTATTACGTAGTTCTATTGGCATTCCTTCCATCACCCTCACAGTACGTATCTCCATATTTGTCTACTTGGTCGGTAAACTGCTCCTCTCCAAAGTCTTCAGAACCTACCACCTTTCTCGTCTCCCCAGTACCTGAAACTACTACCCAAGTTCTGAGGAAGGGTCATCGGACCTGAAACGTTTAAAAGTGTGAGGTGATTCAGTTCGGAAGGACAAATTTGAAAGCAGAATACAGGGTTAACGGAAAGATTCTTGGCAGTGTGGAGGAGCAGAGGGATCACGGCGTTCATGTCTACAGTTCCCTAAAAGCTGCCACCCAGGTGGATAGAGTTGTTAAGAAGGTATATGGTGTGTTAGCTTTCATTAATAGAGGGATTGAGCTCAAGAGCCATGAAGTTATGCTCCAGCTATACAAAAGCCTGGTTCGGCCACATCTGGAGTATTGCGTCCAGTTCTGGTCGCCTCATTACAGGAAAGATATGGAAGCGTTGGAAAAGGTGCAGAGGAGATTTACCAGGATGTTGCCTTGAATGGAGGGAAGGTCTTACGAGGAAAGGTTGACAGCGCTAGGTCTTTTCTCTTTAGAACGATGAAGGATAAGAGGTGACTTGATAGAGGTGTACAAAATGATCAGACGTATAGATAGAGTGGACAGCCAGAGGCTTTTTCCTAGGGTGGAGGTACCTGTTATGAGGGGGCATAGTTTTAAAGTGAGTGGAGGTAGATATAGGGGAGACGCCAGAGGTAGGTTCTTTACTCAGACAGTGGTAGGGGCGTGGAATGCATTGCCGGAGAGGGTAGTGGAGTTGGCCTCATTAGGGGCATTTAAGTGGCTATTAGATAGGCATATGGATGATAGTATAAAGTAGGGGTGGAGGTTAGATAGACCTTAGAATTAGGGTAAAAGTTCGGCACAACATCGTGGGCCGAAGGGCCTGTACTGTGCTGTACTGTTCTATATTCTATGTTAACTCTGTTTTCTCCTTCACAGATGCTACCAGACCTGCTGAGCTTTTCCAGCAACTTTATTTTTGTACCTGAAACTACTGTTAATTTTCAAATTATCCACAACCTTGGAAGATCACCCCAATCCCTGGCCAGATATACAGTCTTCAGCATGGCCATCCCACTAGCAAACTTGCTCTCAGTGCTGTCCATCACAGGAATGCTTACTTCTTTGAATACTTTGGCAATTATTTTGGATTCCAAGACCCTTTTTTTAAATTCATTCACAGAAATGCGGACAGCACTAGCTAAGTCAGCATTTATCGAGGGTTAAGAATCAACCACATTGCTGTGGGTCTGGAGTCACATACAGGCCAGACCAGGTAAGGATGACAGGTTGCTTCACTAAAGGACATTAGTGAGCCAGATGGGTGTTCCAACAATCAAAATGGTTTCATGGTCATCATTAGACCCTTAATTCCAGGTTCTTTCTTGGCAGGATAAATGCGGTGAGGAGGTTTCCCTTATAGGGTGTGTCTAGGATCACAGGACATAGTCTCAGAATAAAGGAGTGCCAATTTAAGACTGAGATGTGGATGAATTTCTTCTGTCAGAGGGTTGAATGTCTTTGAAACTCCTTGCAACAGAGAACGGTGGTTGGGGCATGGGGTGGCAGACTCCTGGTGTACATTCAAGGCTGCAATAGACAGATTATTTTGATCAGTTGGGGAATCAAGGGTTACACGGAAAATGCAGTAAAGTGGATGTTAGGAATGATGGATCAGCCATGATCCCTATTGAATGGTGAAGCAGGCTTGAGAGGCCAAACAACTTACGCTTATTTCTATTTCTTACAGGACCAATCAATATTCTTTCCTTCATCATCTCACAGAACATTAAATGGAATTTTGCTATCGCTATAAGACTGTAAAAAGCTAAATTTCACCTTTCTCCTCCCAACGCCTTAAAACTCTCTCTAAAGCCTATTGCTTTAAGGCTTGAATTCTGTTTGCATATTTCATGGTAAAATAGGGCAAAGTCAGCATAGTTTCATCAATAGAAGCTCATGCCTGACAAATCCGTTAAAGAGTTCTTTGAGGAAATAATGAGCAGATTAGACAAAGGAGAGCCAATAGATGTTATCTACTTGGACTACCAGAAGGCCTTTGACAAGGTGCCCCACAGGAGGCTGCGGAGTAAGAAACAGCCCATGGTGTTCGAGGCAAGGTATTAGCACGGATAGAAGATTGGCAGAAAGCAGAGAGTGGGGATAAAGAGTCATTCTCAGGACGACAGCTGGTGACTAGTGGAGTTCCGCAAGGCTTAGTGTTGGGACCACAACTTTTCATTTTGTGCATTAATGATCTGGATGAAGGAATGGAGGGCATTCTGGCTAAATTTGCAGATGATGCAAAAATAGGTGGAGGAACAAGTAATACTGAGGAGGTGGGGAGGCTGAAGAAGGTTTTAGACATGTTAGGAGAGTGGGCAAAGTGGCAGATGAAATACAACATGGGAAAGTGTGAGGTCATGCACTTTGGTAGGAAGAATAGAGGCATAAACTATTTTCTAAATGGGGAGAAAATTCATAAATCTGAAGTGCAATGTCAGTTGGGAGTCCTAGTCCAGGATTCTCTTAAGGTTAACTTGCAGGTTGAGTCGGTCGTTAGGAAGGCAAATGCAATGTTGGCATTTATTTCTAAAAGACTAGAATATAAAAGCCAGGATGCACTTCAGTTAGACCACATTCAGAATATTGTGAGCAATTCTGGTGCCCATATCTCAGGAAGGACGGACTGGCTCTGGAGCGGGTCCAGAGGAGATTCACGGGAATGATCCCAGGAAAGAAAGGCTCAACATATGAGGAACGTTTGAGGACTCTAGGTCTATGCTTGATGGAGTTTGGAAGGATGAGGGGGATCTAACTGAAAGTTACAGAATACTGAAAGGCCCAGACATTGTAGATGTTGGAAAGATGTTTCCATTAGCAGGACAGACTAGGACTCAAGGGCACAGCCTTAGAGTAAAGGGAAGACTCTTTGAAACAGAGATGAAGGGAAACTTCTTCAACCAGAGAGTGGTGAATCTATAGAATTCATTGCCACAGAATGCTGTTGAAGCCAGGCCATTGAGTATATTTAAGACAGAGATAGATGGATTCTTGATTGTTAAGGGGATCAAAGGTCATGGGGAGAAGGCAGGAGAACGGGGTAGAGAAACATATCAGCCATGTCTGAATGGCAGGACAGACTCGATAGGCCGAATGGCCTAATTTCTGCTCCTATGAAATATGGCCTTATGGACAAACTCTTCAAGATCCTGCATTCCTGTACAGGACACAAGATAAATCTGCTCAGTTGGTACACGTGATGCTTCTCTCATCAGTGCCATCTCGTTTTTCTTCAATTCAGATTATGGAACTGCCCTTGTCTAATTTCTTCTAGAATCTACAGAATTTTAGTCGCCTAATCTTGCTCTTCTAATTCACATAATCTTTCTGTATACTGTGCAACGTTGGTGGTGTTCTGCAGGATGGTTCTTAGGTCATTCCCTTCAGCATTACAACTTCTTACATTTAAAAAGATGGTGTAGAATGGAACAACATATTGAAATAAAAAATTGCAAGTTTTATTCATGAACTCTATTCAATCTGCTGATCTCGCTAGGCTGCAACAAACTACCTACAATAGGAAATAAATGAGGGGAGAACGAGTTAACATCCAGAAATCCAAATTATTGTCCAGTGACTTTTGCCAGCAAGCGTATGTGCAGGAACATCAAGTGATGTTAGGCTCAGGTTCATTTACAATGTAGTCCCTGTATAAATTGGTGCCAATACTCATCACCCACATTCACATGACAGAGAATGGTTACTTAGGCCAGATTCCATTGCTCACGGAAGCCTATCAGACCACGTGTTAGCATCTACAGGAGAGAAACGGACAAAATGGAGTGCAAAGCAACGTAGTTTACAAATCTAGCAATACTTACTCTTCATTAAGGAAATCAAAAGCCTTTGATTTGTCACTGGGTAACTGAGATAACGCACCACTTCTCTTCTTAACCACGCCAGGAGTGATGTGAGAGGTTGGTGCATTGTATTTAACGTTGACTGGTGGGATGGGCTTCTTGGTTGTATTACTAGATGGACTGAACAAACGGCTAAAACTGGAGATCAATTAAAGAGAAAAAAAATTAATAGAAAGGAGAAACAGACAAAGATATTTTGTAAATTCAACACATGCTGATAAAGGCTCCCCCAAAAAGGTACACACACACTGTCCTCAATGCCACCCAAACCAATCCGCTTTGGTTGTATGCGGCTTTTGTTCACATGCATGCAGTTAAAAACATTCTGTGGATTCATTTGGCCTAATTTTATATTTTCAAATTACATTGTTTGAAAACATAAGAACATTGTCCTCCACTATTCCTTATCCACCTAAGCTCAATGTAATGCTTTATATCATACTGCAGCAACTTGCTAAGTTCCTTCAACAGCATTTTCCAACCAAAAAACTCTATCATCTAGAATGGCATCAGATGTACGTAAACATCACCACCTGCAAATTCCCCGACAAGTCATACACTATTCTGACTTTGATCAACATCGCTATTCTTTCACTATCGCTAGGTCAAAATTCTGAAACTGCTTTCTCAAAAACACTGGATGTATACCCATATTACATGGACTATAGTGATTCAGATAGACAGTTCACCACCACCTGTTCAAAGGCATTATGGAAAGCAAGCTTTGTCAGTGCTGCCCACACCGTATGAACACATTTTTAAAAAATTACAGCACCATCTGCACTTTAAAATCATACATTTAAAACGCAAGAGGCTGACATCTGAAAATGCAGAATTTCAACTTCAGCCCCAGCGACACAAAACCCAAAAATTCTTCCAACCCCCTGGTCCCGAGTATTAAATATTTATGCTGAATATGCATCCACAGGTGGCAGTGGGGCAGATAGGCATATGTGGGAGCAATGGTACCTCACCCAATTGTCTACGCTCCATGTATAAATGACTGGCGGCAGCAGGTTGACAATACCTCCACTTCAATTCACTCACCATTGTTTCATATCCCTTGCACATCACAGTATCCATCCTGACTACCCTACCTCCAAACCCTACAACATTCACAGCCTTAGGGAATAGTTCTGTGAATGGTGATCATCGAGTAGGCCGTTGAACTTGTTCCACATTCAGTGAGACCATGATTAATCTGTATCTTAACTCCATTTCCCTAATTTAGCTCCATATCCTTTAATATTCGTGAAAAAGTAGACAATATTTCTCCTGAACGGCCAGGTACTAATTTTAAGATTACACTTTCCTATTGTGGATTCATCTATCAGAGAAAATAGTTTCTTGAAATTTACCCAACTGAATCCCTTCACCAATATCAAGACCTCGATCAATCATCTCTCTCTGTACACAATCTATTGCACATGCTCCCAACCACTGCTCTGGAAAAGCCCAGACTGTTTATCCACCAAAAAAACAAATTGGCTGGGCTCATCTGCAGCCACATTTTTACCCTTTGAAGTGAATGGAGGAAAATTCATGAGCTGCCAAGAAGCAGAATATCTGGGACAAAAGTTCATCACTATGCAGAAAAGATGTGGTGAATTTGGGTTAGCAAATACCTACTCTAATCTTTTAAGTGTTTTGCCTTCCCTCAAAGAGCTGACCACTAGATGGTGCAAAGAACAACTGAGCAACAGGGTTACAATTCTATTTACGACGAGTCAAGAGGAGCACCCAGCTGAAACTGAAAGGGATATCTGACTTGAGTCAGTAAAATATTGATTCATTCAGCTCTGACACCTTAGACAACTCCAATATGTTTCACATTTACCCTAACATAGCAGTAACACAAAGCATTTTGAATTAGCTTATTTCAAAATTAATGTTCAGTATGCGGGTGTCACTGGCAAGACAGACATTTTAAAAATTATTCTTTCATAGGATGGCGGTGTCACTGACCATCCCATGGCAATTACTTAATTGCCATTTTCAGTTACACGAACAGGTGATAATGGCTGCCTCAAACTAGTTGTGGTTTAATATGATTAAGTAACTTGTAGCCTTTTCAGAGGTCAGTTAAGATTCAACCAGGATAATACTGTACTATATCTCCTAAAGGCCCAAATCAGGTAAAGATGGTAGGTTTTCTTCCTGCTGTCTGCCACTGCCCTCACTACAATCAGACAGCTTCATGGTCACTTCTACAGATACAAACATTTCATTTCCTTGTTTTATTAAGCCAAATTCAAATTCTCACACTCTTACAATGGGATTTCACTCGACCAACACTTCAACTGTAACTCAATTTCAGATTAAAAGACAATTGCACCAGGTGAGGTGCAAAACTGGAGACTTCCATTTGAACCTTTCTCTTATGCCCTACTTCACTCTGTTACCAGTTTTACAAATTAGCATAAATGGGATATATGCAAAACTTTCACTAATCACTGCTGTTTGAAAAATCTGAGCCTTTCTATGTCAAACATAAAATTTGGCCCAATGTTCCGTGATTGATAGCACAGGCTTAGAAAACCACCCCAACACACATCTGATCCTTCCACACACATTCATAGAGGAAAAAAAAGACATGCTTTTTCAAAATGAGCTGAATGAGTCTAAAGAAAGAATACAATGTGATCTTGTTTTCAAGTCTGTACTATTAGCATGAACAAGCTCGTACAGCTCAGACAAACCCAGTCTCAACTGCCCCAGAGGTTAGGTGCGCTCTGGCACAAACTTAATATATCAAAAACACACAACTACTCAATGCAGGTTACAGTTACAGTCAAAGGAGGAACCAAAGCAACAATCATTACAAAACAAATACCCACAGTCTGAAGGTGATTACCAACAGGGAACATGAAAGAAAATGAAAATAAATCATTAATAATTCAGAGATAAGTCACAGATCAATGCAGTGCTGTTTCCATAAATATCGGTTTGCAACATATTTAAACATCAAGGACAAGGGGAAGGATATTGGGTTTTGGATCAGAACTCTAGCAAAGCGGTCAAATGCAGGTCTAGACTCTGCACTGTGTGGACAACAGATTTTCACTGAAGGAAATGCCCCTCAACAAGTATGTCTGCATTGTCGGGGGTGGATGGATGTTGTTTCTTGGCCTGCTTAAAGTGCAGGCAGCTGCCTGTTCCTGACATCACAGTTTGGGCAAATAGGTGGATGGGGGCCTGCAGCAGTGTCCACAGGCTGACTGGGAAATTCCAATAAGGATCCTGATAACTGGCCTTCATTGGCTTGACATTTATCTTACTTTTGACTCTGATTTGGCCTCTGGAAAAATTGCCTGCGGGGGCAGGATGTTGCTAAAAAAAAAAACTGGCACACAACTGGCAATGTAAATCCCTACTCCATACTCAACCTCATAGGGGCGTGTGTGCGCGCGTGTGAGAGGGAGAGAGAGAGAGAAAAAGAGTGCCACACGGCAGCACCACCTTATAAAGAGATCCACGGGAAGAGGCAGGAATGAGACTTCCCCTCTGATGATGGTGCTCCACCTTCTGCAATGTGGCAGAACAGGGAACCACAAATCCCGTGTCCCTGGTCAGTAACTTTGATGTGCTAACCCAGTCATAACCTCAAAGAATGAAGGGGCCAGATAAATCTCAGAGTCATTACGGAAGGTGACTGTTGCTCTGACAAGATGACTTTTACCCCTTCCATATCATGGTGGGTCAAATAATATCATGAATGTGAAAGAAGTCATGGCTTGACCTGTATCCGTTAAGTTACTGTAATGGTGTATTAGGAATATAATGTTGGACAATCATGTGAAATTAGCTACCCCTTAATGCTATGCATTCCTGTGTAAAAATTAAACTCTCCCCTATTAATAAATAGACCCAAGTGTATAATCTGCTTACATTAATGGGATGTGTGCGGGAAATAAGGAGCCTATTTTTAAAGGAGATGCACAGGAATTTTATACTAAACATATTTTCTGGAAAAAATGTAGACTAAGTTTGCCAAGCACTTTCCCTACAGAAGGAACACCATTTGGTCCAGCTTAGTAAGGAAATTATTAATGGACACTGACCTCCAGGAAGCTGATTTTTAACACTTCTGGATTTACCAAAACTTGTAATTTTTAACCTATCTCTTCTCCTGTTAATTTCCTAAGTGCTCTCGTGTGTGTATAGGGTAGCCAAGCAATTCCCCTGCATTTCAATTTTTTGTTGATAAATTCCAGCTTTGATTTCACCTTTAAGAAAAAAAATCACTGTGGGTTTATTTCACAAACTGGAATCTGAAAACTAAGACTGGGGAACACCGTATCGTGCGTCTCAGTCAGAGATGGAAGTAGAAAAGAAAAGGACTAAATCAAATAATACCTCGCTGTCTTGGATTTAGAGGAGAAAACAATCAATTTAAATTCACCCCTATTCTCTCTCTGTACTTGACAGTGCACATAACACAAAATCCTGTCTGCAGAATATAAATTGGGAGTTGTTTGTCCATTTTGCATTCAGTATTATTCGCGCTTTAACCTCTCTTGTATGCATCACTTTCCTCTCTAGGTCTGACTTAATCACTCATTCCAAATACCAGCTGTGTGGCCAGTGTAGTAAGAATTCTCAGAGTAGGTACTTACAACTGCCAGATAGTCGATTTCTTTTTCTCTTGAATGGATGGGTTTTCTCTTGAGGCACTAAACAAACAACATACATAAACAAGATTTAAAACTGTGGCTGAAGCAGGTTACAAAGAAACAAAAACAAAACAGAGATGACTTTTCCAGTTAGAGACAGTAACTCAGTTCATACCGGATCATCTCTGTCCATCGTACAGCTTCCTGTAGCTCCATCAACCGCTCCTTATACTGATTACGTTCCATGAGAACACGGGCCATCTCCACACGAGTAAAGCGCTTTCTCTGAGCAGTGGGGACATCACTCTGTTTTCAATAAAGGAAAGACATATCAAATTGCTTTTCATAAGTTCAGTGCTGCTTTCTCAAAAAACAATCCGTACCTCAAAAATACAACACAAGTTTCCCCATCTGTCAAGGAAGATCCCAGATTAGCTATGCCAGCTCCCCAGGATACTTTCTTTGGTGCCTGTGCAAATCGTACCAGCAATGGACCCAATGTACAAACAGCTCTGTTCAGTAGATTTCTCAACAAAACGAGGGTGGGGAAAAATAGGGGAAAAGGTATTTTGGAACAAAACTATCAGAATTAGGCCTCCATATGAGGAGAAATGCTGGTTGAGAAACAGAAGCAAGCTGTCTGCTCAATGGTTCAAAACGAATTTGCAGACCAGGGAATGGAAATTGCAAATAGAAACTACAAACCAAATGTTAAGAGTGGTAGAACGCAAAAGTGCACACGAGAGAAAGAGAGACAGAACATTCTGTACCTCATCAGAATCCTCCTTAGCTCTGCTCTTTGCTTCTTCAGCCTCTAACCGAACCCTGAAAAAACACATCACAATTATAAATCAGCAGATGAGAAGATATGATCAGAAGTTTACTGGCTCCTGTAGCACATCCCAAAATTGAAAATAGGAAACGTTCTTAAGATTTGGCAAGTGTGTGGTGCACGGTCTATTTATAACAACTTGCACGGTCAATAATTTCCGATTTCAAACCACACACAGTCACAGGCATCCGCACAACTGTATTCTTCCATGCTAAGCAATACTACACATGGATGTGGTGGAAACAATAAACCAATTCTCACTTCCTTAGTTCTTCCTCCAAGTCTCTATTCTTCTCCTCCAACTTCAGCTTGGCTTGTCTGACCGACTCCAGCTCTCCCTGTAGCACATCCTTTTCACATGTCAGTTCATCAACCTGAGCTATCAAATCATTCTTCACCACATTCAGGGCATTTCTAAACAGAAAGAGGAACAAGTAACAATAACGGTTAATTTTTCAGGTTAGAGTTAGAAGAAAGAGTAATGAATAGAAACAGTTAATAATACTAAGGATAAAGATGAAGAACCATAAGTGCTGACCCCTAATACCACTAGCTGTGTACAAGAAAGCATTGCACCTTTTCCACCCACATAGAAAAGAAACCTGAAGCCTATTAATAACAAACAGAATACAGAGAAGACACAATCACAATTCCCCATTTGAAAAGGTCTCATTGTCACAGACACTCATGAGGAAGGAAAAAAAAATGGATTCAAGGAGCCAAAATTGACTTAGTGGCAGGAGACAAAGGGTGGTGGTAGAAGACTGCTTGCATGACTGCAGGTCGATGCCCAGTGGTGTTCCAGAGGGATCAGTACTGGGTCCCCTATTGCTTGAGATATATTTAAACAATATACATGAGAATGTGGGGGAATGAAAAATAAGTTTGCAGATGACATGAAGATTGGCCGAGTGGTTGACAGTGAGTAAAAAGGTCTTAGGTTACAGGAGAACATGGATAGATTGGTCAAATGGGCAAATCAGCGGCAGATGTAATTTAACTCCGATTAATGTGAAGTAACAAGCCAAAGAAGTACTCAACGAATGGTCAACACAGTAGGAAACTCAGAAGAACAAAGGAACTTTAGGATGATTGTCCATGAATCCCTGAAGGTGGCAGCGCAGCTTAACAGGATAGTTAAGGAGGCATATGAGACAGTTGCCTTAATCAGTCGAGGTATAGATCGTTAAGAGCGGGGAGGGTATGTTGGAGCTGTAAAGGGCTTTGGTTACACCATAGTTGGAGTACTCGATGGAGTTCTGGTCACTGCATGATACGAAGCATATGATTGCACTGGAGGTGGTGCAGGGGAGATTCAACCGAATGTCAAGGGATAGAGCATTTCAGCAATGAGGAGGCTGGATAAGCTTCGGTTGTTTTCTTTAGAGTAGAGAACATTGAGGGGGGGACCCAATAAAGGTATATAAAATTATGAATGGCATGGACAGAGTCGATTGGAAACAACTGTTCCCGTTAGCTAAAGGATCAACAAGGAAACATACCTTTAAAAGTGGAAGGCATCAGGGTTAGAGGGGATTAAAAATTAACAACCAAAGGGTGATGGGAATTTGAAATGCTTGTCTGGGCAGGTAACCTCTCAAACTATATAAAGCACTGGGGCAGCACTTGAAATGTCATAACATTCCAGCACCAGGACCATAGCCTTGAAAGTGAACCAGTATAGATTTAGTGTTGTTTTGGCAGCAGAGAACTGATGGGCCAAAGGTCCTCTTCTACACCGTATGATTGTATGAAGAGGCAATGACAATTCCACACTCTGTCCCCCACCGATCTCCTTACAGCCCATTCCAAGAAAATAAGTCAATACACAAGAAGCCAAGAAATATAGTCCATCAAGCATCATGTTTTTATAAATCTATGCAGTTCAGTTTTTGATCTGAGTCAGATTCACTTCACATAATTTAATGCTTTAAATAGTTTAATAAAAGCCCTGTACATAAACATTGGAGTTTAATCAAAATAATGATTTTCCCAAAGCTTCTAAAAATTAACCTATACAATATTTCAAACTTGCTCCCAGAGGATTTGGTTTTAAATTCATTCACAGGATGAGGGCACTGGCTCACTGCCTGGACCTGTTAATAGCCAGCCTGGCCAGGAGCAGACCCACAAGGAGATCCTCTGATCTGCTCGGACCCCTCTGTACTGGGTGCTCAGAGGTCAGGAGCATGGAGCTGAAGTGCAACCAAAAGCAGAGAAGGTCTTTTAGGTAACTAAAAAGGGAGTGTAAATGCCCACAACCAACATGGCTCCCTGTTTGGTCCAGGTAAACAGCTCCAAACAGGGAACTCATACTGTATGAGGTCCACCTGACTGACCTTATTAGAATCACTACAGCGTCTTTTTCTTTTCCATTGTATTGGTTACTGTTCACAGAATCATAAACATACAAGCTCAACCTTTCCCTTGACCAACTTAGTGGATATACGTGGACAGTAATAGATTCTAATTATCGAAAAATACTTTATGAACTTTGCTTCCTTATATTAAGTTATAATTCAATAAGAATAAAAAGAATGTATCTATTTCATTGGGAAAATATTCAAAGAGTTATGACTTTTGGATTAAACATTGTAAGTGCTGAAATATTTTTGTAGTCCGAGTCACTTCTGCCACAGAGCATTTCATGTCTGCTTAAAGCCATGTGGTATTTTTTTAAAAATTCATTCACAGGATGTGGATTTCACTGGCGAGGCCAGCATTTATTACCCATCCCTAATTGCCTAGAAGGCAGTTAAAAGTCGACCAGGTTGTTGTGGGTCTGAAAGCACATGCAGGCCAAACTGGGTAAGGATGGCAGATTTCCTTTCCTAAAGGGTACTGATGAAACAGCTGTGTTTTTCCTGACAACACTGGTTTTTATGACCATTACACTCTTAATCCCAGATTTTTAACTGAATCTAAATTCCACCATCTGTCATGGTGGGATTCAAACCTGGGTCCCCAAAACATTACTGGCGTCTCTGGATTAACAGTCTGGCAATAATACCACTAGGCCATTGCTTCCCCTAAAACTACAGTTTGCACTGCAGATGTGAAATAGTCTGTCCAGAATGAAATTCTATTTTTAAAAGGGCTTCGGTTTGCATATTGCTGTTCACTTGCCCAATTCAAAAGTAAAAGATGGTGGTGTGGCTTTTCTCACACTGTTCCAAAAATTTCACAATTACTGATTGGCACAAAGATACTTAGATGATACAAAAAGAGGCATTTTCCACAGAATCCAGGTATGGTTTTAGAGTTTACACCAATCTAAAACAGTATGTTGGCATTAACTTTTAATTGTCAAACACACTGTGACTCAAGTTAGGATTTAAGAGATTTGGGAGCATTAAGGTCACATGAATTATTAGTACTCATTGTTAATTGACGAGACTTCATCTTTTTATATGAGCAGCAATTCTCCTTGTTAGGGCTAAGAGTTTAACACAAAACATTTTCCAACATTCCTAAAGCAGTACAGCAAAAATACTTTCTCGAGGAAGGGTTCTGAGGGAGGGTTAACCAGACCTGAAACGTTAACTCTGTTTTTCCCTTCATAGATGCTGCCAGACCTGCTGAGCTTTTCCAGCAACTTTGTTTCTGATTTACAGCATCCGCGGTTTTTATTTAAAATACTTTCTTGTTGACTTTCCAATCTAATAGGTTCTACTATATGTATCTATTATACCCGAATGTCTACTGTAACAGAAAAAGTATCTGAGCTACAGGGACATGTTGCCAAGGACATTCCCATGGACTTGTAGCAACTTGTTTGGTATCATTCATGATTCATTTGCACTGAATGTAATAAGAAATAATTAAAAATTCACTGCTAGATTAAAATAATCATCTTTGGATGCTGAGATCGGTTTAAGCTCTTTCTTCAGAGTAGATAAGATAGACAATGGTCTAAAATTATCCATGAAAATAAGCTGAGATAACACAGTGTAGAGCTGGATGAACACAGCGGGCCAAGCAGCATCAGAGGAGCAGGAAGGCTGACGTTTCGGGCCTGGACCCTTCTTCAAAAAAGATTTTCTGAAGAAAGGTCTAGGCCTGAAACGTCAGCCTTCCTGCTCCTCTGATGCTGCTTGGCCTGCTGTGTTCATCCAGCTCTACACCGTGTTATCTTAGATTGTCCAGCATCTGCAGTTCCTACTATCCATGAAAATAAGCTCTTGGTTACTTTCGTTGAAGACTTGGTATTTCATGTTTTCTCTTTTCTCCTACAGCAAACTCCCTCTTGACCTTGCTGTTGGGAAACTGACTCAAAGATTAGATTTCCACTGTTACCTCTCTAATGCTGCTATTGTTAATTTCTGAACAATTGACAATGGTCGCAGAAGCCAACTATCACACCTTCAAGAGCAAAGTAAGAGCTTAGCTAACTCAACACAAACCAGTGATATTCACTGGCCATTTCTGGCCTATATGTTTCAACTACTCATTGAATAAACTGATTAAACTGTCAAGACCCCCGAATTCTACTTTTAAAGCACGCTTCAATCTTTTGCAAAAGTATAAATCTGTGCTCTTAAACAAATACCCACGTTGACTTAGGAATTGAAAAACTGAAAAATATCTGAAGTAAATATAAATTCTCTTCAGTCAAACACACCTGTACAGAACAATACAATGTAAACAGCGCTTTTGAAACCTCAACAATTGCTTCCCAAGAGACAGCTGCATTGGACAAGTTCACCTGAAACAGGGGGCAGTAACATTTGATTGAGACTTACTTGGTCTCCAGCAGCTGCGTGTTTTCCTGAATGAGATTTTCAACTTCACGACCCATACCTGGCAATAAATCACATGCAGAAAGTTACAATCACCAGTTTGCAAAGCCAGGTTCAGCACAGCCTATTGCCCCTAATTGTAAATGACCACCTTATGAAGTACATCAGGACAAGATGATTTTGATACTGAACGGGACTATGAATAACTCCTTCTAAAAACCCTTTCTAATTATGCACACAATAACTAGCTGTTCAAGGAAAGAAAATTACAATTGAAAAAGTAATATCGCCATACAAAGGCTAAAATTCAGCCATATCAGTCAAAAGGGCCAAAGCTGTAAAAGAAGCAATTGCAGGTGGCATGTGAAACAAAGGTCAAGAAGCAACAGGTAAATGGAATAGAATTACTCAAATATAACATATAGAAAGTTGACAAGATATGATCAATTCATAAATTTTTATTGGTTCCACTGTCTTATAATGTGATTGGAAAAGACCAGTTTTGGGAAAAGTGAGGAGTTGTAAACTTGGCTCAAATTTCCAAAATTGTAAACCCATTAGCCAATTCAGGGGTATTTCATTCTCCATTTCCTGACTGGTTTTTTTTTTTTTAAATTCTCCTACACAAACTGTATCCTAAGGAGTAACATTTTCATTCAATATTAGAGGTTTTGTTGCAAATTAAAACTGTATTGTGCTGTTTAATGACCCTGAGCATAAGCACAAGCACAAATCTGCTGAACTGAGGCACAGAATGGTGTACATTATAACATTGGGGATTTTCCTTCATTTCATTTCCTGCCCTGGTCAATATCAAGATTGAAGACAGTAGAAGATACAAATCTCTCTTTCCTGTTGCTACTAAATAGATCCTATTTTACCAGGGTTCCATAGTGGAGCACCACCAACCGTTTTTACTCACTGGAAGACAGAGGCCCAATAAACTTCTGTCAACCTAACTTGACTTATAACCAAGATTTAACCGCTTTACAGTTTCTTTCAATATCACCTACAGAACAGGCCTTTTGCCCTTATTTAAAGATAGAATTAATTCTAAGACTGAGTTGAGTAGGGATTTCTTCTGAGGTTTGTCAGATTTTGGAAATCTCTTCTTCAGACAGCAGTGAAAACTGGGTAACTGAATATATTCAAGGCTGAGATAGATTGATTTTTGATTGATAAGTGAGTCAAGGGTTATGAAGGGTATACAGGAAAGTGGAGTGAAGGCCACAATCAAATCAGCCATGATTGCATTGAATGAGATACATCAGCATGATGAAGCAGCTGAATGACCTGCTCCTGTTCCTATTTCTTACACTCTTATAAAGAATCCAACAGCATGCTCACCACCACTGAATACTAGTCAAGAGTCTACAACCTCTGTCAGCAAGTGATCAACGAAGTCCCTAGCTTAACAAAT